CGGCGTTCGCCCGCGCCGTGCCGTGCCGCGCCGGCCCGGGTGCGGGCGCGGGCGTGTGTCGGGAGGCGGCGGCCGCGGCGGCGGTGGTAGCGGCGGCCGCGCCGGGGCGGCGGGCTGCGCTTGGGGGAGGCGCGGGGCTGCTGTTCCTGCAACTTGTTTACGGCTGCCTTATATTGGGGAGGCGAGCGGGGTCGCAGCCGGGGCCGCCGCCCGCCTCGCGCCGCGTGCGTGTGCCATTCCGGAATAATGGGCTTTGCACACTCGCGTCCTGGGCCCGGCGGGCCGTCCTCGCGCCGCGGCGGCGGGGCGGGGGGAAGTAGAGGCCGGCGGGGGTGGGGATCGGGAAGCGCAGGAGCAGAGGCATCCGCCGCGCGCCCCGCGAGCTGGTGGGGGGAGGAGGAGGAAAACTTGAGAGCCCTGGAATGGGAGGGGGCGCGGTGGCACCGGCGGGGGGAGGGTGCAACTTCGGGACTGGTAAAACTTTAATTACCTTGAAAGAAAAAAAAAAAAAGGCCCTATGATTTTAACCCCCGGTTCTGGTTAGAGCACGGCCCACAGCGCGACCGTGAGAGAAAGTTTAAAAGCGGGCGGTTTCCTCTCCGCCTTCCTTGCGCAGGGTTGGGGGTGTCTGTCTGTCCGTCTGCGCTCGGAGAGAGGTAGGGGTAACGAGCCGCACTCCCGGGTCGCGTGGACCTACTCTTGCCCCACCCTTCCACGGGGAGACGAAGGTAAACGTCGCTTCGGTTTCCCTTCTCAGTCCCCCTGCCGCCACCACCCCGCTTCCTTTTCCTCCCCCTCCCCGCCGATTTTTTGAGGGGACCCGAAAAACGGAGTCTCTTTCCTTATGCAACTTCCTCGGGCGCCGTGAGCACGGCCCTTCCCCCTCCCTGCATCCCTTGGCCCGCTCCTTTGCCACCTCGGGGCTACGGCCAGAAAAATGCATTCGAGATCATTCAAAGTGCACAGAAACAAAAACAGATTTTTAATTTTTCTAAGTTAAGGGAAACTGAGATGAGAAATAAGATTTGGGGTTGGGGGGGCTTCGGCTCGGGCCAGTGCGTCAAATTTTCATTTTGATTTTCTTAGATCGTGGTTTGTGATGTCTTCATTAGTGTTGGGAGCACGACAGTCTCTGTACTGGCTATCTCGGTCGCGTGGATTTTTGCGCAAGTTTTTAGAAAAACACTGACTCGAGTAGAGAGCATTTCTCCGGAAAGTTTCAAGTGCAGCAAAATAGCGAACGTGCAAAACTGGCCAAGGGGAGACCTCTAGTGGTTAAACGCATCTTAAGTTCGGAAGGCCGAGAGCAAAGTTTGGCCTTTACTTGTAGCTACGTAGTCCGTTCAGACGTGGAAGTAATTAGAGGACCTGAGCGAGCAGCCAGATGTTGTGTGAAAAGATGCTGATCAGAAATAGAAAGTTTGTTAAATCCGAGAGAGCAATGAATTCTGAGGATTCAGGGCCCGTAGTTTCCACTCGACATGGCTTATATGAGAAAAGCACTTTGCTTTTATTCTGGGTTTTGAGATTGGGCCCTCCCTGGAAAAGAAACAATTGTTTTTGTATTTGTCATCGTTCGTATCTTCCATCAATTTCTAATCACAAGTCAAAGCAGACACTTTTCATTTTGAATGTTAATAAAAATAGAAAATGAAATATGTGTTTAAAACTTGGAAGAAATGGAAAAGATCTTTAAAATTTGCCTTTCATATGAATTGGTCATTTTATTCTCCCATAAGTATAACTTAAGGCTAGCATTTCATTTTTTAACTATATAGTTATATAGTCAAAATAAGTAGCACTTTCTAGTTATAAGATTGTAATTTTGTTTCACTGTAAAACATTATTTATTAATACTTTGTATAATCTGTGATTTAAAACACTGAAATATGTGGGTAAAAACTGCTTAGGTAATATCTAGTCTTTTGCCAGCATGTGTTTTGTCAAGTTTCAAGTATTTTAAAGATAAAAATAATGAAGGAAATTAAAATTAAAACTTTCATCTGTTTGTCATTGGGTGAATTTAGGATATGGGAATGATATAAATGATTAAAATCAGTTTCACTTTATCTGGAACTAGTTTATTTTAACATACAATTGTGGTAGAATGTGGAATTATGCATGTCAGTGTTTGAAAATGTGAACTCATTAATTGTGGATTTGAAGGCTTCTTTTTGATGACAGTACTTTTGATTTTACTTTCCTCTTTTAAAATCAGTGCTAGATTCTTAAAAGAAGTCTTTGGGGTGCACAGCAGTTGTGAAGATCACCAGGCAATTCTGTGTTTCTTCACCACCACAAGGTAAGATTTGCTTGTTGATATAAATTGCTTGATGTACTTAAATGCTAAAAGCTGCTTTTGGAAATCAGAAAGGAGCGTATGGGCCAGGGTTAGCAGAAAAGCACAGGTTTGTGGGGGCTTCTTCGAATGAGTGAGAGTGTTGGCACTAAATGTGATTGAGAGCTGAATGAAACAATAGGGAGAATGAAATTTTCCTGGATAATTGTGAGACCCACTTCCTAGATATTTTTCTTTCAGTACTGAGGTTTGAACCCAGGGGCACTTTGTCACTGAGCTATACACCCCCCACCCCAATCCCTTTTTACTTCTTAATTCTGAGACAGGATCTCACTAAGTTGCCGGGGGTCTTGCTAAGATGCTGAGCTGACCTCCAATTTGTAATTGTTCTACCCTAGCTAGCCTCCTCAGTTGGTGAGCCATCTCCCTTGGCTTACTTAGTGGATTCTTAATTAGCATTTCAACACATTTTCTGAGAGTAAATTGTTTTATTCTTTGAATTTGGAAAAATGGGGAAACTGGAATTATAAAATAATGTAATTATTATGTAGGTATATACTGATATGGAAGACTGTAGAACTTTTTTGGGGAGTGGGGGTGCTACAGGGGACTGAACCAGGACATTGCACATGCTAGGCTAGGGCCCCAGCACTGAGCTATATGCCCAGCCGTAAGATTTCAAAACTTTTAAGACTGGTGAGATGGGGGTCTGTAGTAAAATTTTGTAGGTAAAATTTACAATGAGAGTTTTGGAGTATTTAAATAACATTTAAGTAACTTCTATGGCTTGAATCCAAACAGAGCTGATGTGTACCAGATAGCATGGCATAGGGTCATGGTGAGGCTCCAGTGAGTTACCTTGGTCTTGTCAGTTTTTGAATATATGTCCATGGGGAATATCATTGTTGTCTAGTATGGTCTTTTTAGTAATTTTGGAGGGTAGTGTCTTACTTTCCATAGTCTAGGACCTACTCTCAGGACAAAGAAACAAAAAACAAAACAAAACAAAACCAAAAAAAAAAAAATATATATATATATATATATATTGCTTTAGTTGTAGTTGGACACAATACCTGTATTTTATTTTTATGTGGTGCTGAGGATTGAATGCAGAGCCCTGCATGTGCTAGGTGAGCACTCTGCTGAGCCACAATCCCAGCCCCCCTACCAAGGTTATTCTTAGGCAGGGGGTGCAACCATTTGTGGGACAGAACATAGTGGTTTCTACTGTTAATACCTCTTTTGCTTTTTTTGTTTTCCCTCCTTAACTTTGCTTTCTCCTTTTCTGCTTGTTTCCTGCCTTCTCTGTTGTAAGTACTAAATTGGGTCACTAATTGTTCAGCACAAACAAAATGTAACAAAGATTAGACTTACTTTTCTGAGCAAGACTAATAATCGTCATTGGGCCAGGTATGGTCTAGAAGTCAATCCAAAAATTACCAGTATGAAAATGATTTTTAACAGGAGCTTATTGTCATTTTTGCTTGTGGGTTGATTTGAGTAGTGTCATTATAAAGTATATAGATGTGGTCTCTGTAAATGTGTAGGTAATGCAGCAGAGACCCATGGGGCAAGACAACTACAAGATCATGCAGACAGAAGTAGGGTTGAAGCAGATTAGTAGGTGTTTCCTGGAAAGATGAGCTTCATGTTTGGACATGCTGAGCTGAGGATAGCACTTGTTTCTCTTTTTGGGAGAGTCATTATAGCTTTGGATAGAATGTCAGAATAGGCATCAGAAGACAGAATTTTGTCACTTAATGTATATCACCTTGTGTAAGTCATATTACTTCCTTTAGCCTAGATTTCTTCATCTGGAAAATAGGAACAATAGTTACTTTTTTAAAAAAATCTAAATATTAAATAACAAAAGATTCTGAAAACTTTAAAGAATTATTCAAACGTGGTGGTTATATTATCATGTGCCTTAGTCAGGCTTTGTGATGGGCAGAAAGTAGGTCGTCTAGGGCAGAACATGGTAATTTAGTTCCTGGCCAAGGTTTTTAGATTGGCTTCTGGTATATGCATTATATATACCTGTCAAAAAATTTCCAGCAATATTTTTTCCTTGAGCAAAAAGTAACTTATCGTTGATAGTATTGACTCTTTGAGGGGAGAAACATGTTCTAACATGATACTGGGTACAAAGCCTGAAATTTATTTATCCCAGCCTAGTCATTTAATAAGGAGAAGGGGCAAACGAAAGAAATACTTTAAAATGTTGCCTAATTGTGGAAATGGTAGGGTGGTTAAAGAAGAAGAGTAGGTGTGAAGGGAATTCACGTACTGTAATTAATATTTTTGTTGCGTGAGTCTGCTGGGAGAAGAGAATGAGAAAATAGGTATCTGGGCTAGTAGTGATTTAAACTAATTATGTGGACAAGAAAATGATTCCTGTGAATGACTGGATTTAGGTAAAGATCCACATGGGCTCTTCCCACCTGTTTTCTAGACCCCTTTGCTACCACATTCTAATTATAGCCAAGTTTCTAAAATCTAGATGGAAAAATACCTCACAGGTACTATTTGTCATTATATTTAATTTGATGATTCTGAATTTGACAAAATAAACCTTGGCATGTTTTAGTTTTATTTCATCTCTCTTTTATATATTATCCAATCAATGTTTTACGAATTTAAAAACCCATTAGTGGAGGAAAGAAGAAATATGTCCTGTTTAATTAGTCCCTGAGTAATTGAGAGTTGGTTCCTGAATAATTTCCCCTGCTCTGTTTGCTAGTTTATTTTTAAGAATTATATACTATTGCAACCAACATGATTTGCCGTAGATGCAGTTAAGATGAGATATTTACAGAAGTTATTTTATGTGGTGTGGGACGAGAGTACTCTGGGGTTTTCAAGGATGTGACACTGAGTGATCCATCCAGCAGTGTTTCTAGTTAATTACCAAGTTTTTGTCAATCCTTATAGTATGAATTCTAGAAGACTAGATCTTTGCCCTTGTGGAGTTTTCTTGATCTTCTCCAGAAGTGGCCATAACTCTGAACTCCACTAATAATACTGTAACAATTACACATGGCACCAGCAAAAAAGAAAAAGAGTTTTAGCAGCTGTGGAAGCCATTGAGCTAAGAAACATGGATTTAGGGGCTAGATGATGCAGGACCTTGGCTTATAATCATGTACATATGGCAGAGTACAGGATATTTCTTTTTTAATGATTAGCCTTCAGAAGCTAGTAAGCAGCTTTTCACCTTTTGTCAAGGAATGCCTGAACTATGATTGAGAATGATGGATTGGGTTGACTTGTTCTCTTTGATCACTGCGTCGACAGGTGACTTTCTGGTGAATATCTCATTACTACTGTTCCTGTTTGCTATTATTGAAGTATTTGTTCCTCACAAGGATTTGGGGTGATTATAATATGGATGAAGATATGTGTTAAAAATATATACTTATTTGTTTGTTTATTTCTGCAGTGCTCAGATTGAACCTAGGGCATTGGACATTCTAGGCAAGTACTCTACCCACTGAGCCACACCCGTAGCCCCAAAGATACTCTATTTATATGATGTCTTGAAGTTCAAGGGATCTGCAGAAGATACATTTCTTAAGGGCTTCATTATCCAATGGGGATGTTCTCAGGATTTCTTTAGACTGTGTCAAGTTTCTTAGTTGATGTATGTAGATATGAGTCAATAGAAGAGATGATAGATTAGTTAGTGTTGATTGTAGCAGTTATTGCAGGGAGCAGATGGAAAGAAACACCAGGAACTGGTACCTTTGAAAAACAACTAAATTTAATTTATTAGCTCTAAGAAATCCCCATTTAGGAAACAAGATAGTTTAGAGGAAAGAACAAGGAAATTTGAAGGGAATGTGGATAAAGTTGGGTGATATTTAAGGAGTTGAGTTTCTTCCTCAGAAGTGGATTTGGAATTAAGGGCTTAGATGGTTATTGTAAGGATTGCATGCATATTATATGAATACAGTATAATGCCTTCTGTATTATTCTTGTTTCTGTCATATTTACAGTCAATGCTTTGTATGGAGTCAACAAATACTATGAAAATCGATATTGGGGAGTGCTTCACACAGTCAACACTTGAAGTAGGGTTGAATGAATGAATGTGTTGGGACTACAAGAAATAGAATATCAGTCCTTGCTTCAGCATGTTTATAATCTGGTTGGGGAGATAAATCATATACATAAAATGATAGTTTACAAAACAAAGCTGCAGTTAAATATGTGTGAATGGTAGAGATGAAGTCATGGGTACCATGGTAATACTGTGGTAATACATGTTCTTGTGATAGTGATGGGGCAGGTGGACTAACCTCTGCTAAACACTTATAGTATTAATATTTAAGGTGAAGTATACTTTGAGTGCTCTCTGAATGTCAAGCATTAAGCTCAGTGCTTTATTCATTTACTTATTTATTTATTCACCCCCAAAATACCTAGTGCTTACCTTCTGGATATCCACATATTGCTCTAGGCACGAGGTATTATTTCTACTACTTTCACTAATGTTGAACTTCGGGTATTATTATTATTTTCTATTAATGCAAACTGATGCTTGGAAATACTTAGTAACTTGTCTATATTATGCTGTTTGAAAGGGGTAGAACCAGGTAAAATGATATTGGCATGGGATTATTTTGTTTTGTCTTTAGGTTTTTGATTTTCAAAACAGTAGTTCCTACGATATTTCAAAGAAAGCACATATCCAGATTAATATGTTTGCTCTTATACATGGCTTATACTAAGATGCACAATAATGAGCAAATATAAGAAAAATAAATGGGAATAAAATTCATCTTTTTATTTTTTTCTTTCCTTTTTTAAACCAAGAATTGAGAAGATTCATTGTTGAGTTGTTTGGAAAAGAATACCTTGGGTGCCTTGGTGCAGCCTATAATCCTGGCAATTTGGAAGGCAGGAGGAATGCAAGTTCAAAGCCAGTCTCAGCAACTTTGTGAGACCCTAAGCAACTTAGCGAGATCCTGTCTCAAAATGAAAAAGAAAAAAGGCTATGTGGC